CGGCAACCACATGTGACGACCCCGGGCTGGATTCCGCATCGTACACTGTGAAAGCCGATCTGGCGATCCACAGCGCAAAGCTGATGTATTTCCTCAGCGACCAGCACGGATCAGCTCCAGGCATGACGAAGCGGATATCGTCCTCTTTTGGAAGACCAAACAAAGTAGTTTCGCTTTCACAACGAAACACGCAGCATCACACATGGCGGGCTAGAGTGAGCAGAGACGGGCGAGCTTGAGTGAGGAACGGCCGCCGGGCTTGAGAACAGCGCGGCAGGCGGATTCAACGAAAGAGCGGCCGGCGGGCTTGCGGCAACCACATGTGATGACCCCGGGCTGGACTCCGCTTCGTCCACGGTGAAAGCCGATCCGGTGATCCACAGCGTGAAGTTGATGTATTTTCTCAGCGACCAGCACGGATCAGCTCTAGAAAGGCCAAACAAAGTAGTTTCGCTTTCACAACGAAGCACACAGCGTCTTCACGACACGGTGGCAGCAACAACAATACTACAGCGAGAATAAAAGTTGCGCCTTCTTTCTTTGCGTGAACATTTGGGAGGTGTTATGCAGATCTTCCCACATCGTGATGTAGACATGTGGTGGTGTGTTAGAACGAGCCGTTTTAGGTAGGCGTGGTTGACTCTCAACATTTATAAGAATATCTCTTTGGATTTGAGACTTTAGTCTTTGCAACTTTACAGATCTTATTTATGCATCAAGAACTTGTAACACTCCAAAAAGAAAGGAAAAATTCAAATCGCATCTTATGACCTCTTTAATAAAAATGTCCACTTCACTATAGAAAAAAAAGGTGAACACTGACACAATATTATTGTTGTTTTTATTTTATCTTGTTTTAATATTTTTTTTATTTGTTGTTTATTTTATTTTATTGGTTATTTAGGTTAGGGTAGGGTAGGTTAGTATATTATCTGGAATCCAAGTTGCTTTTCTTCCCCTACTTTTAAGTTTAAGCTCTATTTGGATGGGACTAGTTTTTTTGGAGGATGTTTGAAAAATTGTGGTCCTCGGAGAAATCTGATCCTGTCTGAATGTCTCTGATTGCTGATATTGTACTGTCCCAGTGCTTCTCTTCATATGTTTTTTTTACCCGAGCTACTGTTTGTGCAACAATCTTCATGCTGCACTTTTCATTATGGATGGTATCTGACAAAAAAATTAAATAGTAAAAATTAACAAGGAGAGCCAAATCATGGCCAAGTCTTTAAACACATGAAGTTTATTTATAATAAATTAAAATTATATCAATAAATATTTCATTAAAACATACATATACTGTAAATCATACATGATGCACACAACTATGTCACGACTCACTGTAACACCCTTATCTAGAAAACTCCCAGTCCCACATCTATAATAAACAATTAAATGTAATTGAATTCCCATCTGAATTGGTACAAGAAATCATGGACGTTAGGTGATAAGAATTGTAACTCGGATATCATTTTCAAAACTAGTCCTGTCCAAACAGGGCTTTTTTGGATGGCAATTTTTCAGAAGCATCACAAACTTACTTTGATACAAAAGTTTGCAGTTATTCAAATACGTAATTAATATATAAAAAAACGCATAGCAATCTTACAATCTGGCTTTGCCTTATTTTTTTCTGTTTTCAGTGCAGAGCTGTAGATAATAGGCATGGACATTTCTGTGGCACGTTCTCCTTCCTGCCATTCATAACGCAGCTGGGCTCAGTTCTGCTGAACACTATCACACATACACACCATCCAGATATCAGGCAGTGCTGCTTTGCTTCACAACTAATCAGATTTGGCAATAAGTGTAGATACTCACTTCATCTCACACACACAAGCTACCAAGATTTAGTCCATCTACAGCTCTTGAAGGCTGATGTATCCATACCTGAGTTCAGTCAGAGCAGTGGGAATGCACTGATGAGCACTTCAGGCTTGTTATGGAGAGAGAGAGGCAAGGGCTACAGAGGTCAAGAGAGAGGGAGAGATGCACTTTTTCTAACAGCACAAGAGGAAAGTGATCTCAAGTTGACATAAAAAGCAGGAAAAGTTGCCATATATGAAGCCTCCAGGCATATCAGGCTGGTATCGGTGGAGTTGCTAATTAAAAAGTAGGCTCATGCTTTGCTAAGGCTGCACTTTGATAGGTTGCTGTGTTAATATTCTGCAGATGGGTCAGGAGGACCAGTGTGGGGAGACAGATGTCTCACAGACACGCTGTGAATACAGCTGCAGCTCACTCTCTCACTCTCTATCCTCTCATAATTTCACCTGCCGTTTCTCTCCTGCTCAGTACACTGTTGAATTTGTTCTGTTGTCTAAATAATGTTCTTTCTCCACTTGTCCAGTATCCCTGATTTCAGTGGAAGGCTAAAGTTTTTTAGTGCACTTGAAATGAGTTATACTCTCAGCCAGAGATGGGACTGAAACAAGAATCATTCTCATTCTCTGAACAAACATGTCTTTAAGAGACCATTGACAACCACAATTGAAAGAAGAGTTATCACATTTGAGATGACAATGTGTATTCTATTGTGTATGTGTAACAGCTGTTTTATATAAAAATTAGCCATGTTTTGCAAAGGAAACGACAATGGAAAGAATACAAAAGTCCATAAAAATACCACCTAGTCTATTGTTATTATAAAATAATTTTCTGTATTTATTTTGAGTTATGCATTGTGTTGTTTTAGGGTTGAAGGAAATGGTCATAAACTTAACAAAATTTTTTTTTTTTTTGCCAGGACATAATCCATTTTTCCATGATTTCCATAATCTCTACTAGCTTGTTATTTCAACAGTTATATCCTCACTTCTGTTTTATTCATCAGTTTTGTTTTGTTTTTCTGGATGATTAGTGGAAATCAAGTTACTGCTGTTATGATATGCTAAATGTAGTTGCAATTGATTGTTTTTTCTATTTCACAGTTACAGTACACTTCTGATTTCAATACTGCACTAGTTGAAAGTGACTGATAAGCCAGATGAAAGAAAACATGGTGTCATCAGAATGTGCTCACTACCAAATGCTTGTTTTGTGTAACTGGATGAATTGAATCCGTAAGGATCAGTACAGCACGTGACCTCTGCCCATACACCCACACTGTTAATGGATGTTGGGCCCTGTAAACACATCCCATAATTGAATGGGATGAATGGGGTCTTATCTAAAAGCCATTGTTTGTGTTGGCTATTTGTCAAGAACACTAATTCGCTGTTCAGATTTTGTTTCGATAGAAAAATGTAAAACTCCACATATCAAATTAGATTTTGAAAGGGGTCCATTGAAAAAAAAATTGGAGCAATACGTAAGTGCTATACAAATAAATTTTAATTATATCAAAAACATCAGTGTTGTAATGGGGAGAAAAATTTGAATGGGGTCAGTACTATACTATAACAGCACTATTTAATTATTATTTAAACATCTTATTTTCATAGATGACTCTGTTTCTCACACATAGGCCTGGTTTCACAGACAGGGCTTAAAGTCCACATGAAATCAAAATTAAAGTTTTTTGGTTGTTAGTATCAATATGTTAGTCTTAATGTTATCTATAAGGCAGTGTGCTCCAAAACAGTGACAAAATTCACATTTATAAGATATAAGCATTCAAAGCTTGCAGTTTGTCACTTCCGTCCAAAACGGCTCAATGATTTTTTTTTACGTCACATCATACCTTATCTTCTCATCAAATCTTCTGACCAATCAAATGCTCTCTAGAATCCGAAGCGCCCGCCCCCTGCACTATAAATAAACGCTGAAGCGGCTGAGATTGGTCACTTGTTCACAGTGTAGTATTTCCTGTATGGTGATTGGCACGTAGTGCACAATGTAGGCGATAGGGAACGATTCAGACAGTGTAAATATGCTTTTGATTGGTGCAAATGAGGTCTGGTTTCACGTTGTTTCATGCGAACCGTGGCAGCACACACAGTCTGATCTGGACTTTGGCTCCGGTCCAGAGACGCGATCGCACAGAGCGGATCATATGCGCGAGTCGGCATTTATTAAAAACTTTTACAACTACACAGCCTTAGCATGATTATGACCACTATTTTGTTTTACTAAGTGTTTCATATTGAATCTAGGGGGTAATCTATTAGACTGTGGCTGTCAAATACGGCTTTAACGAGTTTATTAAAATAAAGTATTTACAAAAAGTATTCTCGTCGCTTCATAAAATTCATTTTGAACCACTGATGGCAGATTGACTATTCTGACTATGCTTTTCATACTTTTCTGGACTTTGACAGTGTAATTTACTTGGCAGTCAATGTGACAGTCACAAGCCTCCCGGTTTTCATCCAAAATATCTTAAATTGTGTTCCGAAGACGAACAAAGCTTTTACGGGTTTGTAACGACATGGGGGTAAGTGATTAATGACACAATTTTAATTTTGGGGTGGAGTATCCCTTTAAGTCTTGTTTGTGAAACCGGGGGATAGTGTTTTAATTTAAATGTTTGTGCATTGGATATTTACACTAGAGAGGAGAGTGACTATGGGCGACAGATGGAATGGCCTTGTTCTGTCTGTCCTCTGTCCCTCTGGACCTGATATCAATTGTCTTTTCTCAGTCCAACTAACAGTAGGCATGCACTGCTCTAAGGTAAATGTAGCTGTTTGCAATATTGGTTCACTTTTGCCATCTAGTGGTGTTTTTTTTTCTTTTCTTCAGTATGTGTGAAGCTTTATACAGGCTTCTGTTTCACCTAATCATTAGTTGAATCATGTATTGATACTGCATAATAAAGAAAGGTCTGTTGTTAAGAGTTCACTCAAGTAAACTATGTAAATATGTCTCATGCAATGTGGCCTGAGTTGAATTGTGGTTGTTGAATTGTGTCACCCGGTGGATGGTTTAATATCTGCATTAAATTAAGTTTCCATGAAATGTTATGCACAAGTTAACAAGCTGTTATTTGTGTAATAATTGTGATACAGTCATCTTAGAATTTGATTTACATTTAATCTTGTATTCTTCTTTCTTCATTTCAGAAGGAGCTGAGTCTTCCCAGAAGAGGCAGTTTGTAAGTGATACATTTCTTCTTTTTCTAGAGGATAGAGAAATCTATGGTCTATTTGTGAATAATCAGACCTTGGGAAATTGTATTACAACTGTTGTGAAGAGGATGCTATGCCCATTCAGCAAAGTTCTGGTCATGTATCTTGCATGTACACACTAGAAAACACTAGAAAACTAAATACAGTAATAAAGGAAGTAAATAAAGGACTGAATAATTAAGTTATGTAATATTCATGTTTCAGATACTCAGTTATTTTGTCACAGATCAGCATCTGATTAATACGTATTAAGTAAATAGGATCAAGTATGTATCATTCAACACAACATTGCTTTTGAAATTGTGATCTAGAGCAATGGAAAACCAAAGGAATATATATATATATATATATATATATATATATATATATATATTCAGTCATTTCTTTCAGACTTGCATTAATGCCTTCCAACGTCTGGATATTCCCTGATAAGACAGCATGTTTAATATTTCACACACTGCTGTATCAGTTCAGTTAGCATTCCTACCAAATCACAGTGTCAACACGGTTTACTGCACATGGACAGGGTCACGGAGGTCATAGGTCACTGGTAGGGCAGTGACAGGCAGATTACTTCAGGCCTTTTCCGACAGCTGAGCATTTCGGTTCCTGCTCTGACACACCTATCTTCCTTTCTATTTATTTTTAACCCAGTGCCAGCAAAGAATGTGCTCTTTACAGCCAATCATAAGAAAGCGCAATATCAGTATCATGCGATTAGTGGATGGCAGACAATATTTTGGTGTTATATTTTTGGTGTAGTTTTGAGTGCTACAAAGGCAGTGTCTGAGCAGACTGTTGTTGTGTTCTTTTTTATACACGGTCATGGTTTTTTATTTATTTAATTTTTTTGCCTTTGTATAGCTCAGAGTGACTGGCAGGGGCGGGCAGAATGCAGGCTATTGTGAGGGTTCACTGAGTTTGTTCCACCCGCCGCGGGATTACAGGGCTTAATCAAATCAAACCTTCTATTCAGCCATACTGCTTGTTGGAGAAATCTCATTTTAGCACTCATTCATGCCCTTATTCATTTAGGGTTTTGGCACTTTGTGACTCACCCTCTCATATCTCTTTTTCCATCTCACCTTTTCACTTGGTGTGGGAACCCTGTAAAGGGGAAATGAAATGATTTATTTCATATAAATATGAAAATAAATATTATTTGACCCCACACTGTGTTTGTTCAAACCTTTAAAGTAACTTTATGAAAACTTTATGAAAACTGTCAAGCTCAAAAAAGGATGAAAGAGCACAATGAGGTTACGTTTTATGTAATCTAATACCCAGTAATCTATAAAAAACATGAATAATTATTAATAGTAATAACAACAATCATTATTATTACTATTAACATTAATAATTAATAAACATAATTGCAAAAAAAAATCAACACTGTTAAATGTAATCTTAAGCAAATCTCAAATTGAATATCAAATTTTCATACTGTAAATTATAATGTTGTGATGGAGCAAAATTAGTGTTAAAGTAAATTGTTGGAGTAAATCATGACAAAATGTAATTTTTTTAAGTGAAACATCTTTTTATGCATATATGCGAAGAGCTGTAGATCTTGTGTCAGTGTAATTGTATTAGGCTGTCTTGCAGCAGTGTGTGTCAATGTTGGATCAGGCTTAAAGCTTGTGTTGGTGTTTCTCTGCTCTTTGATCCTGCCTATTGTCTCCTTGGGGCTGCATTTAGCCAAATGCATTTGCCTGGGAACAGTGGATAGGACACTGATATTCTCTTGGTTCCCAGAACTGTGTGTACAGAGATGGGCCGGTGTGAGGTAGGGGCAACAGCTGCACCTCCCCCAGGGTCTTGTGATATCATGAGAATGCCCTCTCCCTCATTGCTCGGTGTGTTTGTGTGTCTCTGACTATCTTGGCAACATACTGTATACACACTTTACTAGTCGAGTTCGGAGGAGAGTGAAGCTTTTTCTTATTTGCCTTTCATTCTTCACATTGTATTTTCGTGTTCACAGCCCTCAGAAAGACAGAACACTCCTGGACACAACATTTAGAAGATTGTCGTTTAACAACAAATACTGTCATGACCTCAGTTCACACAGAAGTGGATATTTGCTCTGGCCATGGACAAGCTGAGTGAATGCACAAGAATTGTGATCGAACAGTTGATGGCTCTGATGAAGATAAAGGAAGTATGGCTGGAATTGCTGAAACTTTCATAATCAAGAGTTGATAGTTTGGTAGCAGACTTTTACAGTACGCAATGTAGTGCTTTTGCAACCGTGATAAACCTGTCACTGGAGACTCTTTCTAGTTTCACTTCTGAGTAAAAGACTTGTTGTTGTATATCCAGCTGTTATACTCATGAACATGAAGAAAAGAAAGGAAAGATCTGGAGCCCCCAACCTGCACTTACAGTAAGAGTTGATTTAGATCATGAGTATGAGCTAGGGCTGCACGATTTGAGGAAAAAAGCCGAATTGTGATTTTTCTGATAACAAAAAGAAGATAACAAAAAACAACCTCCCGGTTTGCTAAGCTTGTTTGTAGGGCTGCACAATTTGGCGAACAAAATTTGTGATTATATTTAAATATGATATAAAATATAAAAATGTTGTTTTGTTGTTATTATTATTATTCACTGTAAAAATGAGTAACAATTATTAAAAATACTTTTTTAATGTTACAGTACTTGTGTAAAATTACAGTACTACTATTTATGACTGTCTTATTTTCTCTATTAAACTATCAAGTTTTTAATTTTGGCAAAAAGCTGCAGGGAGCTCTTAAAGCTTATCTTTATTGGCAGTAGCTGGTTTATAAGCACTTCTCATTACATATATGGAGAGCATTTTATAAGTGACCCAAAATCAGAGCAGATGACTTCATGTTTAGCATCATTTACAGCAAACCAAGCCGCTCTGAGACACTGCTACTCACATGTAAAAGAATAGAATGCCTTGTATCACTTTGAAACATGCAGCACATATATTTATGTAATTAAATCACAGCATCTGCTATTTGATGTGCGCACTAAGCCATATTGCAATTTCGGTTTTATTTTGATTAATCATGCAGTCCTGGTATAAGCCAGTGTTTTGCTTGTGTTTGTTTAAAGAACCTTAACTTTTTCCTTATTTTTAAACTTTTACTTGAGACCAGCTAACTGTCACTCATTTTTTAAATGCATGAACTTTATCCGTTGAGGTTTCTAAACATGACCACAGCATTAGCTTTACACAAACAGACCGCAGACTCTAACCTCCTTGACAGTTAAGCACCAGGTTTCGTCTTTCTCCCTCTCTCAGTCTGTCTGGGAACCCGATACCTGCTTTCCTCTCATGCTGTGAGTGGTGGCTGAATTTCTAGCTCTCGTTTGGTAGATTGACAGCCACAGTGTGTATCTCAGTTTACAGCCTCCAAACACAACCCATCAGAACGCCAGAAAGACTCAGGCAAAGGGAAGTCTTTACTCAGCAGAGTATGTGTGTGTTTATGCATGATTCAGTCATGTCAAATGCCAGCTTTTGCCAGGTCAGCTTCTCTTACCCCCTCCACTCCACACTGAGAGCACATCTGTGCCTTGGCAGGCTGAAGCAGCTCCCTGTTGCCTGAAAACCAAGCTGTAGTCTTGCATGGTGGTACACTTTCAAATCCCGTAGTATTTTAGTTCCCCGTAGTATTTAGAACTTGGTTAATTTTTTATCCATTTAGTTTTTTATAACGTTAAGTCCAGTTCACACTAAGATGTCAAACAAAACAATGCATGTCTATGGATTCCTGAAAACAATTATTTATGTATGTTGCATAGGTGCAAATTAGTTATATACTAAAACTAAACTATATACAGTGGGGAAAAAAAGTATTTAGTCAGCCACCAATTGTGCAAGTTCTCCCACTTAAAAAGATGAGAGAGGCCTGTAATTTTCATCATAGGTATACCTCAACTATGAGAGACAAAATGAGGGAAAAAAATCCAGAAAATCACATTGTAGGATTTTTAATTTAAAACTACTATTGATATGAAAAATGACTTATCAGCAAGCAGAGAAAAAGAAAGCAATGTGATCTAAAGAAAAAATTATTGCTAACAAATTGGAATGCTTATTTTACAGCTGTATTATTAGCTGCATTATTGTTTTGCATTTTGATGTATTCCTATATCACTTTGTCACACTATTTTACTATAACAGTTTCATTCTAGGAGACTGACAACATATTGTTCATATTTTAGTGATGGGTTGTGTTTTGCATGAAATCTGTTTTCCAATTTATCGTATTCTAGCTTCATTCAGATATTCAGCAGTTCCTTAGGCCAACAAACAAAGATTTGTGGCTTGCAAAGTAAATAGATTTGTTGTGAAATATCTTTTTGTTATTTGCATTGTGTGGTAATGTCACTCTTAGTGTGAATAAGCCTAAATAGCGAATAAAAATAGCCAGTTATGTCAGAACTGTGGTTGTATTAAGATTGTAGGCCTATTAAGATAAATGGTTGTATAAAGATCTGTTGTGCGAGGGGGGACCAAGGTTCAAATCAGGCCCAGGTCATGTCTCGGTCCCCTTCCTATTCTTTTTCCCTGTTATTCCCAAGAATTTGCAGTCTTTTCCATAGAGTTATGCTCTGTCTTGCTGTTTAAAAGGAAGATTACATCCTGTGTGTTGAGTGTTATTACTGGTGAAGTGATGGAAAACAAGATCCTGTCCCCCAACTATGTATGTCCCATTTTGTAGAAGGGTCCCACTTTATATTAAGTGGCCCTAATGCATGTGTACTTACTAGGGATGCACGATATATCGGCCACCATATCGGTATCGGCCCATATCGGCTCATTTTTTCTACATAGTAACTAGATGTTTACATAGTATGTAACCACAGTGTAAGTACACATTGGTACATAGTATCTACAGCTGTAATGTTTGTGTAACTTCACATATGTAATAGGGATGGGAAGATTCCCCGATTCACTCGGTGCATTGGCATAAAAAGTTAACGA